ACTGCTGTAAAATTAAACGAATAAATGGGCCTAATAATATAACTAAAATAAAAATATGAACACAAATGTAAAAAAAAAAAATGTATAGGCTTACATAAATGTTTAAAAGTAGGCTAATTAATTTTTAGGCCAGATTTTGATAAGCTGATTTTTGCGCAGCGCGCACTATTAAAATTTAAATTGGCTTAGGCCTATATCATCTGTTCAAAAAAAAAAAAGTAAAATTAAACGAATCAATGGGCCTAATTAGCCTATATAAATAAAAATCATCTACATCAACATCAATGTGTTATATTAAATACATTTTGGTAAATTAACTATTAGGCCACCAGACGCCTATAGGCTATAACTGAACTTTTGCGCAGAGAGCACGTGGATGACAATTTAAATTGTCTCAAACTTAAAAAAAAAAAAAAAGAAGAAGAAAGAATTGCTTTCCTTATCTAGAATACAGTTCTTTTGAGTTCACCTTCAAGAACACGAGTTTGGACAATGTCTGAGGCTTCAGACAAATGCGGTGGTTTCTTGAAAGCAGGCCAGCAGCGGAGAAAACCCTCTCTGCTCTGCAGACTCGCTTGGGGATGCTGAATACAACGCAAGCAACTTTAGTCAGGTGGGGAAAAGACGTGGAGACGCTCCACTCCGCTCACATGCTCTGCTGCGAATGTAAGTTATGCCAAGTTCAGACGGCGCGATTTCAACAAAATCTATCCAGAGTGGACCAAGCTCGCCAAGATAGCCTCCCTGTCTCGAGTGTTCCTGTAGAGAGGGGGTTCTCACTGCAGAATCGGATCAAGACGAAGCAGCGAAGTTGCCTTGCAGAGAACAAGGTTACGCGGCTTATGCGCATTGCAAGTTGTGGAGAGACTCTGCGACGTTTTGATTTTCGGCAGCTGCACATTTCAGCACTGCAAAACAAGCGTAAAAACTGCGTAAAAAGTAGCCTAAAATTACACGAGACAGTGTTATAGGCCTAGTCATTTGTTTGTTCCAATTAATTTGACAAGGAGTCATTTCACGGTGGCCAATTTATTTACCAGCTAAATGGGACGCTTAGAGTGTATAATTAAGTTCGCTTGAGTAAAAACTACTATTCAGATATTGTATGTGGGGAAGGGGGATTGGTTTGTTAAACTAATGTGAAACCATAGTAAAAACAATTGGCGTTGATTGACGCCAATCGGACGTTCATGTTTTCATGGTTTCCGTCTATTTGAAAGTTATGCTAATAAACATGTTGCATTCTATACGGCCCGATTATGTCATTTTTTAAGTTACATAGCCTGCCTCCAGTTTTCCTCAACTTGACTAATTAAGAGGCGATATTTGACCGGCATATCATCAAAATGTCCGTTAAACTAAACCTCTGCCGGTCACTTTGACCGGCACCATTTTTTTCTAGCGGAAACTCTGACTCACACCACTTTTGTTCAGGGGCTTAATTTGAACTATATGGTTTTAATTTGAACAAATATACAGTTTTATACATGTGTTTAGTATTATTTGAAATGTCTACAAGTGTGACTAGTACAAGTGTCCTATTTCCAAATAAGTAAAACAAAAGGTAATACGGTTTTTAGAGTTTAGCATGGTCCTGTTCTCAGAAGGTGTGAACTCGATGCTAATTTCCACTATTAGCAAATGGTACCGTGTAAATCAACTTCTGGTGAACACAGTAAATTTCCACTGTAAACTCATACATATGAAATGAGGTCTGGCTATAATGAAATGCAGCTATCAGGGCCTTTTCTGTATCTCAGATCAGTCGGTGAGGCTGGGGGTCGTGAGACTCCCAGCTTCACGTACTGTAGCCTATTTATAATGTTGGGTTCGTCTTCTCTTTGTTCCAGAACATTTGATGTTTTGTATTTATTATCCTGGAGTTAATAATACATTTACCTGACATAATAAATTGTTATTAGGGGTGTAACGATACACGTATTCGTATTGAACCGTTCGTTACAAGGCTTCCGGTTCGGTTTTCGGTACGCATTTTTGAACCGAACGGTTCGTTGGACCATTTTTCCTGCCGACCAACATTTCGTTATTTCAAATGTAGGCGCGTTGCGCATGGCAAGCGCGCTCATAATGTAAGAGACACTGGCGTGACTACAACATTGCCCAACATCAAATGGCAAACGTAATGTAAGCGGAACGAAACTGAGCTACTCGTTATTCTGTGGTTGATAGACCGTTGATTAGTTTATCAATGCAGGGCGAGCCGATCTTAATCAAGCAGCACTGTTATTACATAGCCACATCCAGTGAAGAAAACACTTGAATTCGCCACTGAAATAATAACATCGCTGCGAGATCTAGTGAGAAACATTCGCATTTCTCCATTATTAACGGATCAAACAGCGCTGACATGGAAACCAGGAAGAAACATTGTGCCGTGAATGAACTATCCAGTGTCCAGATCAGCAACATTCACCATGGGTTTACTGTAACACTACTAACTGAACTAAAATAAACCTTTGTTTATAACTACTACATTATTACATTTCATTTTGTCTAAGGAGCTGTTTTGTTTTATATGCTCCTAAGACAAGTCAAACTTGAAAATTATAGCTCCATCATTGCTAAAAGTAAAAAAATAATATTCATACTTTACTTTATGATGTTAGTTTTAATAAAAAAAAAAAAAAAAAAATTAATTTGGGAAAGTTCTCTAGCATTTCTTTCTTTTTGCTTTATCGGAAACGTACCGAACCGTACCGTGCCATGACACAAGTGTATTGTATCGAACCAAACCGTGAATTTTGTGAACCGTTACACCCCTAATTGTTATATTTGATTATTCTAACAGACTTTGACTTCATTTTCATTAGAGTTAAGAGAAATAGTCAAACATTCACATAGATTTAATGATGCACAGATATCATTGAAAAACCTTTTCATTTATGGAGTCAGATGAAATAACGAGTTAATACATAAGATAAAATGTATTGCATTTAATTAAAAATCCCTTTGCGAAGGAAAAAAAGACACAACACACGTGAGACCTTCACTTCTAATACCGCCAGTGTCGGCAAACAAATTTTCCTACTTTTAAACAGATGATTGTGATTTCTTCCAAAAGGATTGTGTTCCCACAGTTCCCATCCTGCCCTCTCAAGTGTGTTTAGGGGCTTTCGCACCGGAGGAACCTTTTCATAATTCGTAGAACTATCGGCGAAAGTACCCAGATGTCGCTGTGTTCGCACAGCTGAAACTAGGAACGATTTTGGTTAGGAACTCCTTTTGGAGGAACTAATTTAGCTCCTACTTCAGAGTAGGGTCTAAACCAGCACTATAGGAACTACCAGTGACACACGTGTACGTGGATTGACAGCTATGTAAACACCCCAGCTAACGTAGGTTCAGCGGGCCACTGGCGGCCCACTGGTCGCTAAGTTGGCGGCCCACTAGCGGCCGCCGCCGGTGGATCGCTGGCGTTTTGCTCATCGTTATTCTAGCGGAACACCAGCGGCAGCCGACGCTGTCCCAACGGTGGTCCGCAACCGAGGCGCTGGTTCATAATGAGCGTTTTCTGGTGGACCACGGTCGGTCCACTGGTCATTTTATGAATTTGTTTTTCATTACTGGATAATCGTAAATAATAGTTATAATTAGATCCAATTTAGGCAAATATTAATCTTTTATTAATTAAACAATCAAAAACAAAGTACACAACTGCTGAAAACCATGTTATTGGATAGAAGACACAAATGGATAACATACTCAAATAACATATACATATATATATATATATATATATATATATATATATATATATATATAAACCATTATGATACATATTCAAAATATGTACTTTTGTTAAAATATCAATATATAAATTATATTGTTTAACACTTTACTGTACATACATATGAAATATATATATTGTACATATATATTATATATAATATAATAATATTGTTTATATTATTTATTAACAGGATATAGAAGATCATAAGATTAAATTATAGTATATATTATTTAATATTGTTTAACACTGTACAAAACTATAAATAAACACGCACACACATATATGTGTATATATATGTGTGTGTATATATGAAGAGTTCAGATGCAAAAGCCTCTAAATGCCATTTGAAATTTTCTTCTTTAATGATGATTTTTATCCAACTTGTATATTTAAGTTCAGTAATTTCACTTAAATAACAATTAATAGGTAATTATCATTGCCATTTAAGTGAAATCACTGAACTTAAATATACAAGCTTGATAAAAATGATCATTCTAGAAGAAAATTTCAAATGGCACTTAGAGGCTTTTGCATCTGAACTCTTCATATATATATATATATATATATATATATATATATATATATATATACTGTATATGTATTTATATATATGTATTTATAAACGTGTGGTTACACAATATACAAACAAGGTTTAAATTATATAGCCTACACAGACATCATACGACGACAACAACTTTAGACGCATTTGTTGTTGAATTGGCTGACATTGACTGAAAAGACTAACTTATTTGCTCAAAAATCATAAAATACACTTACTGTTACTGGAGGTGACGGTGGATTGCAAACAGTAGATGACGATCCACAGTTGAGGATTAACTTTTAAGCCACAACAATAGGATTAACCCACGACAGAACATTTATGTTTCATTAGTTTCAGACATGTTTCAGACATTACCGGCTGTCGTTGAAACAATGCAGGATGGTGTACAGATCACCGAGGGCGGGGTCTATGCCACAACCACACTGTCAATCAAACCCCTTGCTCAATTCTACGTCACAAAGAGCTGAATCTTAGAACAGCTCGTTCTGAGACAGTGCAGATGATTTATTGAGATTGTAAAAAAAAAAAAAAAACACTGGGTGGATTTTTATCATTCTAGGGTGGTTTTGCTCACACACTGCCAACACACATTTATGTTCAAACACCATGTAAAAGTGAATTTTCCATAATAGGTGCCCTTTAATGTTCTTTCTTGTCATTGTTATCTTCTAATATAATCTCTTCCAGGCCCGCTATAAGCAGAGTTTGGACCCTACAGTTGATGAGGTGAAGAAGTTGTGCACTTCACTACGGAGAAATGCCAAAGAGGAACGTGTTCTCTTTCATTATAATGGCCATGGGGTGCCTCGACCCACCGTTAATGGAGAGATTTGGGTCTTCAATAAGGTAAGGAAAAAAGTACAAGGAAAAACAGGCAAATACAATACTGGTAACACTTTATAATAATTTTTATTAATAAATGCTTAACAGATCATTAGCTATATATATATATATATATATATATATATTCACATAGCAAAAAAAAAAAAAAATATGTTTGTTAATGTGTTCTAATGAACTTGATTAGAATGATTAGCAGATCATTATTTAATGTAAATTAAAATGCTTACAAATGTCATCTAACTTTCAATTTATATGATCATGCACATGCAAAAATGATTTTTACAGATGGTTTACAATGATTAAAATCTTCCTTAATAAATCATTAAGAAACATTACATAAATCTTATTCGTTAATATATATATATGTCACGGTGTGGCTCTGGCTGAAGGACGAGGAGACCGGAGTATCGGTAGAGATCAGGGTTTATTATATACAAAAAATGGCAGGAAGACAGGAACACGGACGCCACACGGGCTTACAACAAGCATCTATAGACAACAACCGACAAAGACAGAATGAAACTGAGGGAACTAAATACACAGAGGAATCAGACATAATGAGGTGAAGACAGGTGAAACAGATGAACAGGACGCTGAACGGGAGGCTGATGAGGGAGTGAGTTCAGGTGTGCAGACAAGAGGATCATGTGAAGTGTAGTGCTGGAGACGCAGACAGGATGGTGCAGACGAAGGACTGTGACAGAACTCCCCCCTCCCGGGAGGCGTGACCTCACGCCGCATAACAGAGGAAGGAGGGGGGACGAACTGGGGGCTGGGCGGGGCGTGGCCAGAGCGGAGCAGGCTGAGGGTGTGGCCAGGGCGGAGCAGGCTAAGGGCGTGGCCAGGGCGGAGCAGGCTGAGGGCGTGGCCAGGGCGGAGCAGGCTGAGGGCGAGACCAGGGCGGAGCAGGCTGAGGGCGTGGCCAGGGCGGAGCAGGCTGAGGGCGAGACCATGGTGGAGCAGGCTGAGGGCGAGACCAGGGCGGAGCAGATGGAGGGCGAGACCAGGGCGGAGCAGATGGAGGGAGGACCCCTGGTGGAGCCGATGGTAGTGGGGCTGACAACACCAGGGGGCCGACTGACAGGGGCGGAGCAGATGGGAGAGGAGACCAGGGTGTAGCTGAGGGACAGACGACATTGGGTGCTGAGGAGGGACCGAGGGCCCATGGTGACACCGTAGGCTCTGGTGACTGAAGTGACGACAGGGGCACAGAGGGACACGGTGAGGTCAGAGGGCGTGAGGGCTGACGGGTGACTGGAGGGAGTGAGGAGTCCAACTGAACCGGAGGGGTGACAAAACGAGGCGGAGCCAAAGGAAGGAAGTCCATAGGTGAGGGGAGGATGACGAGGGAGTGAAGGGAATCCGGAGGACCGAGGGAGCCTGGCCGAGCTGGTGGACTGAGGGGCCATGGAGGAGCTGAGGGAGGTAGGAGCCACGGGGGAGCTGATGGGACAGAGGGCCGAGGAAGTGTCCATGTGGAGGCGGTGCGAGACGAAAACCGGGGATCCACTGACCAAGCTGGTGTCGGGGAGCTGAAGGGCAGGAGAGAAGATGGAGGACAGATGAGAGGAGGCGGGAGAGGGAGGCTGGGTGGGATCCTGGTCTCTGGCGCAGGCTGGACGGTCTCTGGCGCAGGCTGGACGGTCTCTGGCGCAGGCTGGACGGTCTCTGGCGCTGGCTGGACGGTCTCTGGCGCTGGCTGGACGGTCTCTGGCGCTGGCTGGACGGTCTCTGGCGCTGGCTGGACGGTCTCTGGCGCTGGCTGGACGGTCTCTGGCGCTGGCTGGACGGTCTCTGGGGCTGGGCTGGTCGGGCCCAGCGAAGAAGAGAGCTCGGGCTCGGAGAGGCTGGACGGGACCAGCGGAGGAGAGAGCCCGGGCTCGGCGTGGCTGGGCGGGACCAGCGGAGGAGAGAGCTCCGGTGTTGGAGTGGGGCTGGTGCCATCATCGATGGTGAAGGGAGATCCGCAGGACACCAGCACCCACTCCACATATGCTGCAAAACTCCCCGGGGGACCGTTCCCGGACAACTGCTCTCTGGTGGCGGTGTTGAGGCCAGCATAAAGAAAGCTGCAGAGGCTGTCGTCCGGGAAGGTTGTGGCTGGAATGAGGGAGAGGAAATCCGTCAAATGGTCCTCCAGGGACCGGTCCTCCTGCTCCAGGCAAAGCAGTCGAACTGCCATGAAGGAATCCATGGTTTGGTCGGTCGGTTGTTCTGTCACGGTGTGGCTCTGGCTGAAGGACGAGGAGACCGGAGTATCGGTAGAGATCAGGGTTTATTATATACAAAAACTGGCAGGAAGACAGGAACACGGACGCCACACGGGCTTACAACAAGCATCTATAGACAACAACCGACAAAGACAGAATGAAACTGAGGGAACTAAATACACAGAGGAATCAGACATAATGAGGTGAAGACAGGTGAAACAGATGAACAGGACGCTGAACGGGAGGCTGATGAGGGAGTGAGTTCAGGTGTGCAGACAAGAGGATCATGGGAAGTGTAGTGCTGGAGACGCAGACAGGATGGTGCAGACGAAGGACTGTGATATATATATATATATATATATATATATTAAACTTTTAAAGTTTATTAAACCCATTAAACTTCAATTCATTTACTACTAATGCATTTTTACATGTACAAATGTTGTGAAAAAATAAAAAGTTTAATTAGTATTTTTAATCTATGTTATCACTATTCGTAGGAAGGTATGAATATAGAAAGGAATATATTTTGAAAAATGTCAGTGACCAGTCAGTTGATAAACCCTATTTACTTCCATAGTAGGAAAAAAACAACTACTATGGAGGTCAATCAACTGTTTGGTTATTCTTCAAAATAGCTTTTTGTGTTTAGCAGAAAAAAGAAATTCATACAGGTTTGTAAACTATCCCTTTAAACCCCCCCCCCCCCCCTCATTCCACCAAACCTGTCCCTAACTTATCACACCATGTAATAACATTTTTAAGCATTTTATTGTGCATTAAATAATGATCTGTTCATCATTATATAATGTTTAAGTTAATTAGTAACCATTAAGAAGCACATTATCTCATATTTCTAGCTATGTGAATATATGAAGAGTTCAGATGCAAAAGCCTCTAAGTGCCATTTGAAATTGTCTTCTAGAATGATCATTTTTTTTATCAAGCTTGCATATTTAATTTCAGTAATTTCACTTAAATTGCAATGAGGATTACCTATTAATTGTCATTTAAGTGAAATTACTGAACTTGAATATATAACCTTGATAAAAATGATCATTTTAGAAGAAAATTTCAAATGGCATTTAGAGGCTTTTGTATCTGAACTCTTCATATATTAACAAATGATCTGTTAAACATTATATAATGTTTGTTAATGGTTTATTAATGAAAGTAATCATAAGTGTTACCTAAAAATCTTATTGTCTCCCCACAGCTGTTATTAGCAGTAGTTTGTTTCTTTTGTACTTATTTTTAAAGTTAATTTGTTTTGGACTTGAGTTGTTGAGTTGTCTCTCTCTCTCTCTCTCTCTCTCTCTCTCTCTCTCTCTCTCTCTCTCTCTCTCTCTCTCTCTCTCTCTCACTTCCGGTGCACGCTGGGAGCGTTTGGGTGTGTGGGGGGTTTCGTTAGGGGAGAGGGTGACTGGTATTTACTTTTTCCTTATTTTCATCTTAAATTTGGGGTATAACGGTTGATTTTGAAAGTAGGTCAAGTTGAGTAAAGTTTTTTTTTCGTTCGGGACGGTGTTGGGATGGCGTCGTTCCCGAATGGGGGAGAGCCACCGCCACCTGTGTCTCTGCGTAATGGAGTCAGGTGTGTTCCTGCGCCAGGTGTGGAGGTGGAGGATGTGCTAGTCGCGGTTGGAGAGCAGATCGGGTTTGAAAACATTTTTTCGGCTTCGAGGATGAACAAGGCTGTTGTGATTTTTGTAAAGGAGGAAAAAAATAGTTAATCGTCTCGTTATCAACGGAATTGTGGTAAGTGGCGATTTCATTAATGTTTCACCGCTGGTTACGCCGACGACGCGCATAACAATATCAAACGTGCCCCCGTTCATTAATAATGATGAGATTGAGCGGGGATTAGTTCGTTATGGGAAGTTTGCTAGCGCAATTAAAATGGTTCCACTTCGCTGTAAAAATGCTGCATTAAAGTAGGGATGCACCGATACCGGTATCTGGTATCGGCCTCGATACCACATTTTCTAAAGTACTCGTACTCGTTAAAAGTCCCCCGATACCGGGGACCGATACCATGTTCTGAGAAATGGGTTAATCACAGGCGCCGAGTGCCCACCCCCAGGCTCCGGCTGCAGCTCAGAGCGGGGAGATGGGGAGACATGTCAGCCGTGTGGAACAGTGATGCGCGGGTCAATGTATAAACAACCCGCACACTACCAACGTTTTCAACTACCCGCCCGCTACTCGGACCGCAAAAAAAGTAAGAAAATATTGTACCCGACCCTCTTCCTGACCGTATTTTTTAAAAGTAGTACATGCTCATCGTAGCGTCATTGGGCCATAAACGTGTAACAACACAGCATCGCAAGAAGACGTAGCCTACATATAACAAAGGCAGCACTTTGGTCATCATCTTTGATTATTTCGGTAAATGTCTCCCACACTTACTCTTTCTATTTGTGTATTTGCGGAGCTTCCACTCCCCAGTCCTTACCTTTTCTCTGCCGCCTCCATCTCTCTGCAGACTAGTGATCATAGACATGGCCGGTTCGTGAACGAATCGGTTCTTTTTAATGAACCGGTCGAACCAGTACGCTAAATCGAACTGAATCATTCGCATCAGTTCACGTCTTGCGTCAGTGCTGATCCACAAGTTACCACAGTTACTCACTTTCAGACATGCCTGACAGTCCCTCCGAGTTGAAATAAACCAATATCCCGAATTATATTTTACTCCAGTAACTCTAACAGTTCACTGAACTGAGACATGTTGTTGCCACAGCTGAGAGAAGTGATGAGCACGAGCAGCTGATACTGCGCATCCGCGTAGTA